ACAGGCCTGGACTGCAGAGTGTCCGGTCGTACAGGCCTGGGCTGCAGAGTGTCCGGTCGTACAGGCCTGGGCTGCAGAGTGTCCGGTCGTACAGGCCTGGGCTGCAGCGTGTCCGGTCGTACAGGCCTGGGCTGCAGAGTGTCCGGTCGTACAGGCCTGGGCTGCAGAGTGTCCGGTCGTACAGGCCTGGGCTGCAGAGTGTCCGGTTGTACAGGCCTGGGCTGCAGTGTGTCCGGTTGTACAGGCCTGGGCTGCAGAGTGTCCGGTCGTACAGGCCTGGGCTGCAGAGTGTCCAGTACAGGCCTGGACTGCAGAGTGTCTGATCGTACAGGCCTGGGCTGCAGAGTGTCCGGTTGTACAGGCCTGGGCTGCAGAGTGTCCGGTTGTACAGGCCTGGACTACAGAGTGTTCGGTTGTACAGGCCTGGGCTGCAGAGTGTCCGGTTGTACAGGCCTGGACTACAGAGTGTTCGGTTGTACAGGCCTGGGCTGCAGAGTGTCCGGTTGTACAGGCCTGGACTGCAGAGTGTCTGGTCGTACAGGCCTGGACTGCAGAGTGTCTGGTCGTACAGGCCTGGGCTGCAGAGTGTCCAGTTATACACAGCCCAGGCTTCTTTGATGTACAGGGACAAAATAGGAGTTGGGGGGTGTGCACTGGGGCCTGCCTCCTGTGCATGGGGCTAGTTCCATTCCTATCCATTGACTCAGCTGCAAGGGCAACTGACAAGGGACAGCCCCGCCTCTCCCTCCTCCCCTGCCCTGCCCGCCTTGCTTTCTGTCCTTCCTTCCCCTGTCCCCACACTTGGCACCAGGCCAGCCTCTGCACATCTCTGTTCCCCCATCCCTTGTCTCTGTCCTGGGGCTGTACCCGGTCCTAGCAGGCTCTTCCCTGGCTGTAGGAGACAAGCCTGAGTGATGACTAGAGTCTGAATTGAGACAGTTTAAGACAATGCCCCAGGCCGACAAAGCGCTCAAAGGAGATTGAAGGAGGTAGGGGAGTTTCATCCCATCAGCTTCCTCCTGGGATGCTCCCTCACCTTCCTGTCCTGTGTCTATGGGTGAGACTGCAAATCTGTTTTCTCGGAAGGGATTCCTCAGAGATTGGAAGGGAGAAGAACACCAGGGGCCTGGAGAAGCCGCTGGACTATCTGAGGCCACGCCTGGGTGGTAGGGGTAGAGGTTAGGATGGGCTCTTCTCTTGAGGGATGGTGGAAGACTGAGTGTCAGGCCCCTGGGGCCTCTTGCCCCACCTTTCTACCATGGGCTGCATGTCCTTGGGGAAGTACAGACCACACCGGCCTTAGCTTCTCTGTAAAAGGCAGGCTGGGTGACAGGTACCCGTAGGTTTATACTGGCAAGTTGATTTGCTGGAGGCCACCTGGGTTTCGCCCTGGGTCTGAGTGTGCTCACCATCATTGTTGAGGGGTTCCGGGTGTTTCTGATTGTGAATGACTGCAGTAGAATCCTCAGGGATCCCAGGAGCTTCACCGTCTGGCATTTCCCATCTGTACAGCAGTGGCTGGTTTACCCTAGATCTTTGGGGATGGGTGCGTTTCTGGAAGGTTGGCCCTTGCTGTTGAGCACTGAAACAAGTTCTGGATGGCCACAGTCGTTTGGAGGGGGTGAGCTTTTCCAGAATTTTCCCCACAGCTGTGCCCGGCTCGCCAGAGCTATGGGCCCTGGTGACAGGGGTGCCCAAATGATCCCGGCCAGCTCAGCTTCTTAGTACGTTGTTCTACTGTAGAACTTGGGTGTTACTTCCTGCATCTGTGTGGCTACCTGCCTCTTCCAGGGCATCACCTCAGATGAGTGGCAGACAAGAAAATTGGACACCAGTGTCTGGAATGATAATATATGCACACTGAAAGCAAGTAACCCTGGAGTGGGGACCCAAGGGACTCTCCAGTAATAATGCAAGGAATCCAGGTCATGTATTGAGATGCAGGAGAGCCAGAGATCACTCCAGCCCCCTCCTCGTTAACTCTTTTGCGGGCTCCTCAACTGCATCCAGAAGCCAGCTTGACACCAGGCAGACAAACAAAAGGAAAGCAAACACACTTTGTTAGTTTTACACGGACCTGGGAATCTTCACAAGAGAGTGGAGTTGAAGGTTTTAGACCTTTTAGACAAAGAACAATCAATTTCAGAAGAGATGGAACACAAGGGATCTGGTGGAGCAATATACATTTCTAGGGGAGTCTCCGGGAGATATATGGGGTGTGTAAAACCAGTGGAAGAGAAGGGTTCCTTTGTGAAGTGTATTTATCCTGGTCCATTGCAGCCCCCAGTTCCCAGGCTCTGCTGAGGAGGGCCATTTTCTCAGCCTGGCAGGGGAAGGGTACTCCTCCCAGAGGAGTCTACGGCTTGGAGTATGCAGGAAGAGACAGGTCAGCTGGCCCTGTCTGAAACTATAATTCCTCCAGTGTTTTTGACTCAAAATAATCAACATATCAATTTGGCATATTTTGGGATGGCTCATCCTTCCAAGGCTTGCAGGGTACTAGACTCTGGGTTACGCATTTTGTGTATATGACCTCATTTCTTCCTCACATTCACACTAGGAGACAGATCATTTGATTCCCATTTTACAGATGAGGAAACCTAGTCACAGAATGGTTAAATTTGTTGCCTGAGATCATTAGAGCAGCCTTAGACTTGATTCGGGTTGAAATGCAGGTCTCCCTGACTCCGAAGCCTGGCATAGTGTCTTATTTTTGACTGCTTGGAAACCGTTTTTCCTACATCCTATCTTTCTACCTGTCAGGCCTCCGAGCCCAAGCCAAGCCATCGCATCCCCTGTGACTTGCACATATATACGCCCAGATGGCCTGAAGTAACTGAAGAATCACAAAAGAAGTGAAAATGCCTTGTCCTGCCTTAACTGATGACATTCCACCACAAAAGAAGTGAAAATGGCTGGTCCTTGCCTTAACTGATGACATTACCTTGTGAAAGTCCTTTTCCTGGCTCATCCTGGCTCAAAAATCTCCCCCACTGAGCACCTTGCGACCCCCACTCCTGCCCGCCAGAGAACAAATCCCCATGGACTGTAATTTTCCTTTATCTACCCAACTCCTATAAAACAGACCCACCCTTATCTCCCTTCGCTGACTCTCTTTTGGGACTCTGCCCGCCTGCACCCAGGTGATTAAAAAGCTTTATTGCTCACACAAAACCTGTTTGGTGGCCTCTTCACACGGACGTACATGACACTACCAAGTTGAGAATCAGTGAGCTCAGAATACGGGGAAGGCGCTGGCTGCATATTATAGAGATCTGGTCTTGGGGAAATGCCTGTTTATTATGGATATGGCTTACGGACTAAAATAATAGCATTGAATGTACTTTGTATGCATGTAAGGTGGTCGTGATTAACCAAAAGTAATGTTGATGATGAACTTAAAAGACAGTCAAGTGTGCTTTAAAAATAAGCTTAAAAACTGCCTGGGTTTTGTATGCACAGATTTTGGGCCGGCCAGGAAGATCCCCCAGATCGTGGTTTGAGAATACCTGTTTTAGACAAAGCACGAGTGACGTGTCCCAGGCATCAGGAAAGATGAAATCTGGCAAGGAAACCATAAGGATCAGATTACAGGAAAGGCTTGCTCAGGGAGAGGAAGGAAGCAAGGAAGAAATTAGTAACTGAAAAGAGGCAAGGAGGAAGGCCTCTTCATCAGGAGGCGGGGGAGTGTGGGCCGGTTGTTTGGATATCTAAAACAAAACAGCTGTGGTTGTCATACACACACATTTTGTCAGAAAATAACCTGGTGTGTTATTTTCCGATGTTTCAGCCATTGTGTCTTGATTCAGGAACAGCTCCCTTCTGAGTTTCTTTTTGTTTGTTTGTTTTTGAGAGAGGGGCTCATTCTGTTGCACAGCTGGTGCAGTGGTGTGATCACGACTCACTGCAGCCACAACCTCCCCAGGCTCAAGCAATCCTCCCACCTCAGCCTCCCGAGTAGCTGGGACTACAGGTGTGCACCACCACACCCAGCTAATTTTTGTATTTTTTATAGAGACGGGGTTTTGCCATGTTGCCCAAGCTGGTCTAGAACCCCTGGGCTTGAGTCATCCGACTGCCTAGTGCTGGGATGACAGGCGTGAGCCACTGCGCCCAGCCTCCCCTCTGAATTTCCATTATCATGTTGGCATATCTACTGCTGGTGGTAGCCAGCCTCCAGGAGGCAGAGGTTGCGGTGAGCTGAGATCACACCACTGCACTCCAGCCTGGGCGACAGAGTGAGACTCTGTCTCGAAAAAAAAAAAAAAAGAAAAAGAAAAATCGACCCTTTATTATTTCTCTGCTGTCTTTAGGAATTGGCTGAGATCCAGTGGGTGTTGGCTGCTCTGGGTGGGCTCAGCCAGGTGGCCCTGCTCCACCTGTCTCAACTCCTCCTGGCCAAGCAAGGGTGCAAGAGGACAAATGAGTACACAGGACATGTCTGAGGGCCTGGCATGTGCCAGCCCTAAGCCCACTTCTGCCTCATTCTGCTGGCCAAAGCAAGCCACCCAACTCAAACCGAAGGGTGGAGAAATACATCACTGCTGCAGCTGAAGGCCCTCCAAAGTGGCAAAGAATGTGAACAAGGGGAAGAAGAAAAACTTGAGACCAATAATGCAATCTATGGTAAAGAGTAATAAATAACTATTTATCAAATTCCCACTGTGGGCCAGCACTGTGCATCTGTAATACCAGCTAACATTTATTGAGCACTAACTATGGGCCAGACACTTTTTTTTTTTTTTTTTTTTTTTTGGCGGACTCTTGCTGTGTTGCCCAGGCTGGAGTGCAGTGGCACAATCTTGGCTCACTGCAACCTCTGCCTCCTGGATTCAAATGATTCTCCTACCTCAGCCTCCTGAGTAGTTTGGATTACAGGCGTGCGCCACCACTCCCTAATTTTTGTATTTTTGGTTGAGATGGGGTTTCACCATGTTGGTCAGTCTGGTGTCGAACTCCTGACCTTGTGATCCACCCGCCTCGGCCTCCCAAAGTGCTAGGATTACAGGCGTGAGCCACTGCGCTCAGCCGGGCCAGATACTCTTTTAAGTACCTTGCATGAATGAGTTCACTAGGTGCTTACAGCACTTCCGTGACACAGGTCCTGTGATTATTCCTAAGTTGTATCCAAGGAAATGGGGAGAAGAGATGTTTAATGTCTTGTTCAAGATCAAACCTGGGCAGCCTGGCTCCAGCACTTGGGCTCTGAACTCCAATGCTGTACGTGATCTGTTGCTAGCAGGGACTTCTTTTGAAAATACAGAGGCCCAGAAACCTTAAGTGATTTTCCCAAGGCCACTGGGTGGACATGGACTTGGAATCCTAACCCATGTGACTGCTGTGTTCTCTCCACTATGCTATGGGCCAGTGAATGTTGTGATGTGGCTTTATTCTGCTTATTGACTGGATGTGATCAAAACTGTCAACGTCCAGGTAGAAGACTGAATCTGATGATTTACAATTTGTACAGAACTCTTCAGTCTTGTTGGCTTTCTTGTCAGTCTCAGCAACAACCTTCTGTCTTCGAGCTACATGTGAAAAATGTTCCTTCTCCTACTTGTTGATTAATATTCCTTGAAAAAATGTATTTCCATATATATAGCCTAAAGAGGAATGTCAGCAGTTAGACATACTAATCAGAAGAAGGCTTTGTGTTTTAGTAAAGGTTAATTAAGAGCCATTGAATTTTTTTCCTTAAAACATAAAGGTAAAATAATGTAATTAGCTATTTTTTTCCCTCTCTCTCCCCAGAGGGCAGATGTAAATGTTCTACCAAAATGAAGCTATTTATTTAAATCCATCCAGATTTCTTCTGAAGTTTCATACATCTTTCCTCTGCTATATCAGCTTATAGCTACAATAATTTAATAAGTTTTTCCTAGGGTGAAATTGGATGCCCTTTATCGATCTTACACTGAGGGGGCATTCAATTACTTAATCTAAAGTGGTATTTCTGGGTCTCTCAATTACAATTTTGTTATAAATGGCTTGCTAATGATGCTTGGGTGCATAGGTTAATAGGGGGTGTCCAAGCAAGGGCTGGGTAATTGAACACTTTCTATTTTGGGACCCGTTATCTGATTTCTCTCCTGGTGCCAGGTTCCCACAGTGATGGTCTGCATCCATCAGGCTCAGAATTGAGCCCAGGTGGGAAGTAATCTCACTGAAATGTACACCTGAATCCTTTGGTTTAATACATGAACGGAAGCGCCAAGGGCCCCATCTTGTCTGAGTCGACCGGCACCAAACGTGGACATTCCAGACAGGTGAAGTGCAGGGGCATACATGACTCCTTTCTGAAGGAGGAACCACTTGAGTGTTAGGTTTCTGAATGACTGTGCTTGGGATAATTTGTGGCCTATGGAAAAGGCCAGATAAGGAACATAACAGCAATCCATTTTCCTTTCAATACCACCCCATTACTTGGATTTTTCTTCCCTGAGTTATGCTCTTTAATAATTATACATAGTATGAAAATTCTTTTGAGGTCAGGCATGGTGCCTCATGCCTGTAATCCCAGCACTTTGGGAGGCCAAGGCGGGCTGGATCACTTGAGGCGAGGAGTTCGAGACTAGCCTGGCCAATGTGGTAAACTCCGTCTCTACTAAAATGCAAAAATTAGCCAGGCGCGGTGGTGTGTGCCTGTAATCTCAGTACATCGGAAGCTGAGACAGGAGAATCGCTTGAACCTGGGAGGCAGAGGTTGAAGTGAGCCAAGATCGTGCCACTACACTCCAGCCTGGGCCACAGAGTGAGACTCCATCTCAAAAAAAAAAAAAAAAAAGAATATATAGTGTGCCTCCCTTTTTGCACTTGAGCAAATCCCACCCCTGACTTTGGCCTTCAAGACTTTACAGAGCCTGGTCCCTGCCTCCTCTCCCATTGGGTTTCCACCCCCACTACTGGCCTACGCTGCCAGTAGCCCTCATGGGTTGGGACTCCCCACAGCATCTCTCTACAGGGCCTTTGCTTCCCCTGGTCTCCATGTGACTGGCTTCCTTCTTGTCATTCAGGTTTCTCCTCCAATGTCCCTGTGAAATCAGGTCTTCCCTGTCACCCTGTGTATCATACCTCCCACTCCTCTAAGGCAGTGACTCTAACCCAGGGGTGATTATGCACCCCAGGGGACATTGACAATGCCTGGAGACGTTTTTAGTTGTGACATCTCAGGGGAACGGGTGCTATGGCATCCAGTGGTAGAGGCCAGGGTGCTGCTAAGCATCCTACGCAGGACAGCCCTGACAACAAAGAATGGGCCATCCTAGGATGGCACAAAGAATTCCAAAACCCTGTTCCAATGGTTTTATTGTTCTCTCCCCTTTTTCTTTATTCTTTTCTGCATAGCCTTTATCTAGCAGCATCTGGGATTATCTTATTCATTTGGGACTTCTTATAGCCTGTGCCCTGCAACCCCTACCCCTGGTGGGACAGAAGCTCCACTTGGGAACAGAACTCCTCTCTGGGTCAGCCCTGCACCACTCGCACCCGTCAGGGGAGGGCTCGTCTGGAAGCCGCCGGGCTCTAGGGCCTTCACTTACAAGGGATTCACCTGGCCTTCAGATTGCTTGTCCATCTTACTGCATGTTTGACATACTATACAGTGGCTATCGATTTTGGTAAAAACTTGTAAATGTGAGGTAGTTTTATGTTTTTTCTCAGAGAGGACCCCCCTTCCCACCCCAGCCCAGGGGTGTTTTCCAACACCAGCAAATCCTCCAACTCCAGAACCTAACTGATTATCCTACCATTCAATTCAAGTCTGCCCCTACCAGAGGCAGACTCTACAGGTTTGAGGGCTTGGTCCCACCAGACTGCTCCACTTCAGATGCCAGTCCCAAGTACTGGGTCCCCAGGTTACCCATGCTTCTGTCCAAATTGGCTACAAAGGCAAGAGAGTCCCACAACCTCCTCAGGTTCAGTAATTCTCTAGAATGACTCACAGAACTCAGGAGAGTGCTTGGCTCATCATCAGTCTATTATAGGATACAATGCAGAAACAGCCAGCAGATGAGACGCATGGGGTGAGGTATGTTGGAGGAAGGTGTGTAGAGCTTCCATGCCCTCTCCCTCCATTCCACCTTCCCAGCACCTCAAAGGGTCCACCAACCTGGAAGCTGCCTGAGCCCAGTGGTTTAGGGGTTTTGATGGCAGTTTCATTACAAAGGCATGATTGGTTAAATCATTGGCCACTGGTGATTGACTTCATCTGCAGCCCTTCTTCCCGACCTGGAGTTTGGGGGGTTTGCTGAAAGCTGCTAACTGAGGCTTGGTCTTTCTGGTGACCAGCCCTCAGCCTGGAGCTATCCTGGCCCGCAAAGGGTCACCGCATCAGGATACACTCAGATATGGCTGAAAGGGGCTTGTCATGAATGACGACAGGTGCTTCTCTCACCCCATCACTCAGAAAAATTCCAAGGATTTTAGCACCAGTGTACCAGTACCCAAGGATAGAGACCAAATACTCATCTCTTTATTTCCACATCACATCCCTCATCTTGTATTGGCTTTTGGCTGGCCTCCCCCTAACTGGACATGTGCAACACTCAGCTGTTCTTCAAAAGATATTTGTTGAACAGATGAATGAACGAATGAAAGAATGCTAGGAGCTGAGAAAACACTGTATCTGAGTGTTTTGCTAAGGTTCTTGCAGCCTCTCAAATTGCCTCCTCAGTTCTTTCTGTTTAGGAAGCAGGACTTGCAGAGGCTGGGCTGGTTGGAGGGGGCGGCTGCCCGGCAGACATGCTCTGTGGACCCGGTCCGGGCACCCCATCTTCCCTCCTCTCTGTTGAGACTGTCAGCTGCTCATGTTTTCGCTTTGCTTGAAATGAGCTTCCCCTGCCCTTGTTTAGGAATGTTTTGCCCATTCGTTTGGGTCCAGATTATGTACATTCCTGTCTTGGAGCTTCAAAGTCCGTGTTTTGTTTGCTTTTTAAAGAATCTAATTCGATCTTCTGCAGCAGAAAGACAGGAGGGTGTGAATTCCCTCCCTGCTGAGCTGCTGGTTGGAGTCTCATTTTAACCCCGGCTTGGCCCTGTCTTGGACATGTGAAAAAATGTTTTCTTGGCCTTAATGATGGAGTTTCCAAGTAGGGGATCTTGCCCTTTTGTTTCTTTAGTTTGGAAGAATTGTTTGTAGCAAGCGATGGGTCAGGGGTGGTTGAGCAAGTTTGAAGCAGAGGTTGAGTCTTGAGGTTTCTGACATGTCCTTTCAGCTGCCCTCATGTCCCTCCAGCTGCCCTCAGGGATAAGAGATGGGGGTAGGGCCTGAGATGTCCGGCCTGGCTTCCCAGAACTGGCCCCTTCTGCATCCCCGCCCCGGCGCCTCTGCAGGACTCAGGTCTCAGCCTCTACTGACCAGCCTTTCTCAAACTGGCTCCTTGATACCCTAGTGAGATTCCTTGGCCAATTATGTACTTACAACTTTGTGTATTATATTCCTCTCTTGTGGATTCACAGGGCTTATTAGCATATCAAAGGCCCTGAAAAGTTCGGCTGTAAAGAATTCTGTGTAATTTTGTCCATTCCACATTTTCTCCAAATAATTTAAGCATGGAACACTCACCAACGGCAAGCGGAACATTTTGTGGGAGGAAGACGTTTTGGGAAACACACAGCTTGGCTATTTCTTGGCCACCATATTTTGAGAAAACACGAGGTTTTCAGTCCAAGGGGCATGAACATTTCTTCTGTTGAGTTCTGATTGTTTAATTCTTCAGCCAGTACATGGAGATCTTGATGCGGGGTTAGTTAATGCCGCCTCTATGGACACAGTGAGGGTTGTTTGAGGCGTGGCGTGTGTAGAGTTGGAGATGAATCTACTACTCTTGGATAATTTTCAATTGCTAAAGAATAATCATGTGGTATAGGATCTTTCATCTTTGATCCCATTTCAAATGTTTTTGGCATTCACTGACAATGAAAAATCATAGTAGTAGTTGATGATGCTATTGTTATCAATGCTCTCTACCTTTTATGGTATGCTAAATATGTGTCAGGCATTATTCAAACTCTTTACATGTAGTAGCTAATTTAGTACCTGTCAAGGTACCCTATTTTCCTAATTTTGCTATTGAGGAAACCAAAGCTCAGAGAGGTTATGTGGCTTGCTCAGGGTCACACAGCCAATTAGTGGTGATCTACCACTGCCAGAAACTAAGTAGGTCTCCTTTTTTGCTTATCCATGGCTCTTTTTATGACATCTACAAAGAAGTGTCATTTGGGCAACAATATATTTTATAACCACAGGATTCTATTAATGGGTTTTTAAGAATCATATCTTGCTCGAGATGATGAAAATGAAAAATTATGTCAGGGTCTGAAGCTCTGTGCCACTTGAGGGAATACTATACATTGGATTTAATTGCTTAATAACTTAAAGTCAAGTGGTTTTTTAATATGATACATTCTACTGAAGGAGAGACTCATTTCATTGTTTCTAAATTTTCATTAACTTTTGCTTCCTAATCTGATAATAAAGGTTAACTCTAAGAAAGAGACTGCTGATGCCAGCGAGAGGGAAAAAACACATTTTCTCTGCCTGCTCCCATTCTAACCATCCTCCTTAGTATTCTTGAGATTTTTCATTGACTGAAAAGCACTGATATTTCAATTCATCCCTCAAATTTGTAGTCATTGACTGTGCATGAATCTGAGAATGATCACAACATCCTGGGATTCAGAGATCCTGTAACTGAGATATATCAAGCAGAGGGATTAGGGGACATGTGGACCATGCACAATGTGAGATGTTTGATGTGGCGCTGGTGGTGCTGGAATTGGGACCATGTTCGGTGGCAGAGATTGAGCCCCAAAGCCAACTGCAAGGACCTGAACCTCTTCCTTTATCCTCATGATTTTCTATGACTTGCTTAGAACCAGGCTGGCTTGGCTGGACTTAGAGGTGGAAAAGAGAGTGAGCATCTGTCTCTGGTTGGAGGATGAGCTTTGGGTTATCGCTATTACCACACAATGTAATAAAGCCTCTTGTCTTTTTGTGTAGGAAATCTGGCATTTTTTAAAGTTTGCGCCCCACAAAGAGGAAATATTCCAAAGGTACTCAGGATGTAAAAGTGGAGATCTTCACAGATGCCTCCGTGGATGGCATGGCAATCCATCCATCAGTGAAAAGACCATGATTTCTTTTAATTTTTTGTGTGTTTCCATATTCCCCAGTGAGAATTCTTCCACCTTTTTTTGTGCCATGGGAAAAACCTGAAGGGCAGGCAGAGCTGCTCCCGAACTAGTGACCTTCTCCAAGGTTGCAGAGGCTCTTGTAGAACATGACTCTGGGACATCACTTCCTTTTGTTTTCTTTCGGAGCTGAACCAAAGAATGTGCGTCCTCTTTCTCTAGTGCTGTGGTGTGTGCTTATTTTTGTATTTGTGCTTTCCATCCATCTTATGTAATCACAAGGCATCCTTAAGGTTTTCCGGCACAATTTGTGGACATCCAGACTCCTGGGGGGACCACCACCCATGGCTCGGTAAGCCCAGGGCACTGGCACTACCATGAGGCACTGCATTAATTGCTGCATACAGCTGTTACCCGACGGTGCACACAAGCACCAGGTCAACTGCCGAGGGGGCCCCCACCACGGTCACCAGGCGTGCCCCACGTGCAAAGGAGAAAACAAAATTCTGTTTCGTGTGGACAGTAAGCAGATGAACTTGCTTGCTGTTCTCGAAGTGAGGACTGAAGGGAACGAGAACTGGGGTGGGTTTATGTGCTTCAAGAAGGGGAAGCGATGTAGCCTCGTTTTTGGACTGATAATAATGACCTTGGTAATGGCTTCTTACATCCTTTCTGGGGCCCACCAAGAGCTTCTGATCTCATCACCTTTCCATTACGGAGGCTTCCCCAGCAACCCCAGCTTGATGGACAGCGAAAACCCAAGCGACACAAAAGAACATCATCATCAATCCTCTGTAAATAACATTTCATACGTGAAGGACTATCCAAGCATTAAATTAATTATCAACAGCATCACAGCTAGGATTGAGTTCACGACCAGACAACTCCCAGACTTAGAAGACCTTAAGAAGCAGGAGTTGCATGTGAGTAGCTTTGTGCTAATCTTGACTGATTGGTTGATTTTTAGAAATGAGTGCTTTTCTTTCTATCACCATCTTTGGGAACACAGAAGGAAAATGACTGAAAAATGTCTCAGATGTAGCAAGGATCATTTGACAGCCTTATGGATTTTAATGCACTGAAAGAGTGATGTTTGCTTATGCTATGGAGTGCCAGGAAGGGAATCTGCTGTCCTGAACGCTGGGTTAGGCATGTTCAAGGGCCGCCGGCTCTCATTATTTCATTCCAGAACTTCTTGCTTGACATGTGATCGTGGTAGTTAAAAGTTGCTTTTGCAGATCACCATCATTTGGGATTTTAAAGCTGCGTTAAATTTGATTTTCTGCTTCTATTCTATATTTTAATCTCTAACGGCAATTTAAATATACAACTAGTAAAAAGATTCTGTTTAATTACCATGTGTGCGTGTGTGTTGTGTGTCAGAAAGGTAAATTATGGTTGAATGGATTTTAATTAAACTTTTATTATTTAACTTTAATCAAAATAATCTTTATTTTGGATTATCTTTAATCCAAGTATTTTTTTGTGGGGGGGGAGGGGCGGGGGTGAGGAAAGCACAGTCATTGACCGTCTACCAAGTTTTGCTTTATTTGTTAGTCATTGTCAAACAGGTCGAATTTGAAGACGGTCGTCAGTCTCAGGGCATGTTCCCATTGCGGTTAGATTGTGTCTTTGCTCACTTTCCCCTCCTCGGTGTCTCTCCTCCTCTGTTTCCTTGCAGATGTTTTCAGTCATCCCCAATAAATTCCTTCCAAACAGTAAGAGCCCCTGTTGGTACGAGGAGTTCTCGGGGCGGAACACCACAGACCCGTACCTCACCAACTCCTACGTGCTCTACTCCAAGCGCTTCCGCTCCACCTTCGACGCGCTGCGCAAGGCCTTCTGGGGCCACCTGGCGCACGCGCACGGGAAGCACTTCCGCTTGCGCTGCCTGCCGCACTTCTACATCATAGGGCAGCCTAAGTGCGGGACCACAGACCTCTATGACCGCCTGCGGCTGCACCCTGAGGTCAAGTTCTCCGCCATCAAGGAGCCACACTGGTGGACCCGGAAGCGGTTTGGTGAGTGCCGGGTCCCAGGGCTCCTGTCTGGTCTCGTTCCATCATTCGTTCATTCCTCCCGCAACGTTAGCGCTGGGGTTGGGGGGTGAGGGCCGCAGAAAGAGATTGCACAATTCCCTTGTTAGGAGGCTGTTCCCAGGCAAAGACCCAGCACTGGAACCCGGTTCCAGTGAGCCATGCAGTGAGCATTGATTGCCAGCTGTGTGCAGGACAAGGGGACGAGTCAGAACTGGCATCTCTTCTTGTTCCGAAAGCCCGGGCACATGACCCGAGCAGTGAGCAGTAAGTGCCAGTGGTTAGTAAGGGCCCGCAAGGAAGGTGTGATCGGGACTCTTGTCTCCCAGCTCTGTGCCGCTCCCAGCTCTGTGCTGCTCCCAAGCTCTGTGCCGTTCCTCTGCTCTGTACCATTCCCTGCTGTTCCCTGCTCTGTGCTGCTCCCTGCTCTGTGCTGCCTCCTGCTCTGTGCTGTTCCTCTGCTCTGTGCTGCTCCCTGCTCTGTGCTGTTCCCTGCTCTGTACTGTTCCATGCTCTGTGCTATTTATCTGCTCTGTGCTGTTCCCCTGCTCTGTGCTGTTCCCCTGCTCTGTGCTGTTCTCTGCCTGTGTGTTCCCTGCTCTGTGCTGTCCCTGCTCTGTGCTGCTCCCTGCTCTGTGCTGTTCCTCCTCTGTGCTATTCCCAGCTGTGTGTTGTTCAGCTGCAGTACTGACCTGGGGGATACTGAGTTGCTTCAGGCCTCAGCTTCTCTGACTGCCCATCTGCCTTATGGGTTCCATATGATAACCACATGGAGATCATTCTGGAGGCCCTGCTCTCAGCCCTTTGCCGCAGGCTGACCATGACCACTGCCCATCCTTCTGCTCCAGCCCACCCAGGCACCCTGTGGTCTCAGATCACTGTCTCTTTCTGTAACCTTTTGCTTGCGCCAGGAGAGTTTGGTCACTGAGCTGAGGGTATACGTGCTATTGTCACCCAGAGTCTGGGCAGGCACGAGGGTGTTTTCCCAGTAATGGACTCAGGTTGCCTAGAAGGGAATCTTCAAATTTTTCCTTAGACCAACTCTTAATGTGTTTCCTGACAACGTTTGCTTTCGTCCTTTGATGATGTTCGTCCTACAGTGAGCTAAAGTGTAAATGTTTCTTTTGTGGTTTAGCAGCGGCCGTGTAGGAGCCAGGGTTTCACATCCCTATGCATTTGCTGGTGTGTCTGAACACACTCCCCTGCTGTAGGGTGCTCCCCCGAGGCTCACAGTGATTTCCCCTTATGAAAATCAGCTTCCCATGGCAGGAAAGGAGGAAGAACAGAGCGGGCCTCTGGAATCTAGTCTTCAATGTCACCTTGAACCTCTTGTTTCTTTGGCCACGGATGTTCTCTTTCCAATTTCCATTGACTTCAGGAGTTGTGGCGTTGGGAAGTGGATTTTTAAATGTTTGCAAGTGAAATTTATTTATTTTTCAGGCAGGGGGTGAATTTAAGCTCTATGTGGCGATGCCAGAATCCATGTCTGTCTAGAGTATGATAGTTCCCCTTGTTGTTTGGACAAAGGGCAGGGTATTTGATTGAACAGGGCAAGAGAGAACATCAGGCAGGTGCTGGCTGGCCCCATGAGAAGGCATCATGGAGTTTATAGGATACTGCCCTCCTCTCCCCCGTGGGCTGCCCTTGGTCCTCTGTCCCTGTTTCACACAACATAGGCATCCTGGCTGTCATTGCTGCCCGGCCACTTAAGAGTCCCACCTGTGCACAAGTTAACCAGCCCCAGACTCTGTCCCTCCAAGCAGACATGTTTCTAGCTCTTGAATAGGTGTTCCAGTCTTTAATCTCCCACTGTCCAGCTTAGTGGTGGTATCTTCCAGCCCTTGAAGCATGCATGGATTGAAAGTGGGTAGCCAGGCCCCATAGACCCCCATCCCCAGCGACCCTTTCTGAAGCTACCCGGGCTGAGCCTCCTGCTGCTGTAGCCAGGCCCTTTAGGCCGTTCCATCTCTCTTTGGTTGCTGTCTGGGAGGCCATCGCTCCAGCAGTAGCAACTTTGTCCTCAGTATCTCCTGCACCTTGGTTCTTGTAGGAATTGTCCGCCTAAGAGATGGGCTGCGAGACCGCTATCCTGTGGAAGATTATCTGGACCTCTTTGACCTGGCCGCACACCAGATCCATCAAGGACTGCAGGCCAGCTCTGCAAAGGAGCAGAGCAAGATGAATACAATCATTATCGGTAAGGCTTCTGTGTTACTCTGGCAGGGCCAGCACCCTCCCTGAGGTCCTGGCTCAGGCTCCAGGCCTGGCCCAGCTCTGCTTCACCTGCAGAACATTTGCACCGTGGCAGCAGACTTCTTTTGAGCCTCCACTGCTCCACCTGGCCGTCACTTTTACCACTACATAAAATGTTCACATCACTTGAACAGTTACTATAAAGCAGAAATGTTGACTTTCTACGTCTATGGAGACTTAAGGACAACTGATGGCTTTCGTGAGAAGTTGCCATGTCTTTGTTTTTAAGAAATTAAGCAGGGATATTGACTTTTTCCTGATGTACTGATCTGATAAGTTTGGATGGGGAATTATAAATGCAGTTAACTGGTTAGTCATTGATTTGCTGCTTGGGGCTTTTGTAATCCCTGGCCACTGGGACCATATAAGACGGAGGCAGCTTCTTCTGAAATAGACTCCGCTCTGACACATCGCCTATAACTAATTGCTGTTTAAAAAGCCTAGCCTCTGTCAACCTAATGCCTTTGGGCATTCAAAATGAGGTTGATTAATAATAATTTGTTTTAAATATTCACAAGATTATTTTATAAGTAAACATATATGTTTACTCTTTTTAAAATTTATTTTTTATTGTATAAGGTGTACAGCATAATGTGATGTTTTGTTGGAAACAGAGACAATGAAATGATTACTACAGTAAAGCAAATTAACGTAGCCATTTTTTTTTTCACAGTTACCTTTGTGTGTGGGGAGGGGAGGCGTGTGTGTGGTAAAAGCACCTGAAATATACTGTCCTGGAGAACTTCCGGCATGCAGTACAGGATGAATAGGATTAATAACTACAGTGCATACGCTCTACCTTAGATCGCTAGAGTTGTTATTTGTCTGACATAATTCTTTTTATTGGATTCAGCTTAGAAGGCGTTTATCCACTGATGCCTTCTGAAAGAGAAATTGAATCACGTTTTGCTTAAATTGTTTACCGTAGACAGTGATCTATTTTTTAATTTCCCTAGATCTGTTATATTTGCAATCTCCAAATTAAATAAATCTATTAGCTACTAAGAGGAATTGTAATCAACCCTTTGAAAGATGACTTTTGAACTTAAGACTCTCCTATCCAAGGGGACAGGCTTATGTGCCAAAGTCTTGACTTATTCTTTTCTTTTTCTTTTAAGCTCAAAGACATGAAGTCACTGGGAGTCACCTCCAGTATGATTTAGCTAGTTTTTTGCAAACTTGGGGGTCCAAACTCCCCAAATCTCAAGTCTGACTTACATTTCATTGTGACTCCTATACCATATGCCTCTGGGAAAATCACATGTTCTTATGAAAGTGCTAAAAATATGTATCCTCGGGCCAGGAAACAGAGACTAAGACAATGAATGAAAAAGGAAAGCCTCCGTTTGGTCTCCTAATTTTGCTTGCTCCTAGGTTTTAAAAAGAACAAAAAATAAAATCACTGTGCTGATGTTTACTTAAAGCAGAGTTTGGTGAGTTTTAGGGTAGTCTTGTGGTGGGACAGGTATCTAGCCCCGCCTGGGCCAGCAGCCAGCTCTGTGCCGTGCAGCCGGTCATTTTTCCTGTTCCTGGACTCTGTCTGCACCTCTGCAAAGTGGAATTGTTGGACCAGGTCAGTTCTAGACTCCTTCCAGCTCTGAAATGGGACTCCAGCTCTGCCCCAGCTCTTCCTCTGTGTTAGATTCTGGGCAGAGACAGCCATCTTGCCTCATCTTGGGCCCCTAGGGCAGAGAGGACCTTTCTTCTGCTGTCATTGTTGACAGCTAGAGTCACACAAGAGCTTCAGGATGCAAGTGGCCTGAACGTGATGGCTGAACTTGGGGCTAGGTCTTTAGGCATGTTGAAAGGCTCCTGCGTCTACTCCAGGTGCCCAACGTGCTACTCTTTGTTTCCTGAATTGCCTGTTGTCCCCCTTGTTTCTTAAGGTCTGAGAGAGAGGGGCCGTGCTTTCCTCCCCTGATCTGTCCCTGGTGCCAAGCACAATGCTGAGCACAGATTAGACACCAAATGAATGCTTCCTGGGTGGATGAAGGATGGATGGTGGCCGGATGGAAGGAAGACAGTCAGGTGGATGGAGAAATGCCTCCATGGCTCTAGAACCAGTTCATTTTTGAGATATGACAGAATTTGTGCCAATTTAGCTAGAGAGTTCATTGTCCTTTATATTCTTATTCATTGTGAGTAGAATTTTCAAGGGACTTCTGATTGACTTGTTTTTTCTGTGTCCTAGGGTATTATCTCTTTAAAAAAAGAAAGAAAAAAGGCCAGAACAGAGCTGTTCACCTGGATGTGATTATGCATCCGACAGAACTGATAGGGGCCTGCAGGGATATGATACACTTGTCACTGACCAAAGACTCAGTCATCTGGCTCAGTCTTTCCCCGGATAAGTAACTTTCAGATGTGTCCTGTGGTCCTTGGCAAACTGTCAGGAAATCAAGTGTAGAGCTGATTGATGGATTTGCCTTCCTTTTTAAATCTCTGAAGACTTTCCCAAACACACACACACACACACACACACACACACACACATACACACACACACACCCTCAAACCCTCAGGAACTTGGCTTCGTCCTCTGGGAGAGTCTGCGCTGTTGGAATGCCTGCCTGTATCTTGGCATCACCTCTGTGCTGGGATGTGTGTTTGCCATTTACATCCTTCACTCATGAGGACCATGATGAAATGTGAAACTGGCTGGGACCCAGTTCCCGTTCACCCAGTCTGCACTGAGTAGGCACCAGCTGCGTGCAGAGCAGTGGCTCACAGGAGACAGGGTGTGTGAGCCCTGTGGCAAAGCCCCTCTGTCTTTTAGTCTTAGAGTATGCCCTGAGATGAACAGTTACAGCTTCAAGGAAGGAAATCGCACTCGAATTCCTCGTCAGGGTTAGTGTTCCCACCCTCCTGCTTTCTCCTGATGCCTTGGAAGGAAACCATCTAGTACCAGCTCCAGGCTCCTGGGCTGCTAGACCAGTTCTCGGCTCCTCCCAGCTCTGAAACGTGGTTTGGCTCTGCCCCAGCTCTTTCTCTTTGTTAGATCCGGGGCAGAAATGGCAAGGCCTTTCGCCATCTTGGGCCCCCAGTTCAGAGAGAACTCCATCTATTACTAGAACCATCTACTATATAGAACATATATTGGAAAACTATACAGGAAAACCATTTTCAGAACCACCTATAATTTCCCACCTCGATAACTGCTATTTGTGTTTTGGTGTATTTTCTCACAGACTGCATTCTCCGTGGGCCCTTAAAATGCCACAGAGCTGTGCACCATGAGCAAAGTTAAATACTGTGAAACTGGGGGCCCAGATGGTGGTGAAGGTTTTCTTTTTTGCTCCCCTTGGAAAGGGGGCTCAGGGGTGGGGACACTCAGTGTTGCATGGATTGCCTGGACTTCCAGACAGAGGTTTTTGGGCTGGAGGTGGGGTGTGACTGTGGCAGGGGTGGGCATCCAACCTTCTCTCTTTGGAGTCCTGTTTGCCCACAAAGGCTGACAGCTTGGCCTCTCCTGCTGCTTAAGAGGAAGGCATCGGGACCAGCTTTGGCCTCTGGCACCCGGGGCCACTTCGTGGGAGCCTGAATCCCACCCCTGCTCACTTGGAGTGTTTTCTGTTTCCAGGGGAGGCCAGTGCTTCCACTATGTGGGATAACAATGCCTGGACGTTCTTTTACGACAACAGCACAGATGGCGAGCCACCGTTTCTGACCCAGGACTTCATCCATGCCTTTCAGCCGAATGCCAAACTGATTGTCATGCTCAGGGACCCTGTGGAGAGGTGAGCAGTTTCTGTGTGTTGTATTTGGGGTGAGAAGAAGAAGCACTTTTGAAGAAATTGTGATGACTCCTGTCATCACAATTAAGATTTTGTCTCCTTTAGAAAAAATTGAATAGGCCAGGTGCAGTGGCTCACGCCTGTAATCCCAGCACTTTGGGAGGCCAGGGTGGGTGGATCACCTGAGGTCAGGAGTTCAAGACCAGCCTGGCCAACATGGTGAAACCCTATCTCTACTGAAAATACAAAAATTACCAGGCGTGGTGGCACACTCCTGTAGTCCCAGCTACTCGGGAGGCTGAGGCAGGAGAATCGCTTGAATCCAGGAGGTGGAGGCTGCAGTGGGCCAAGATGGCGCAACTGCACTCCAGCCTGGGCAACAGAGCAAGACTCCATCTCAAAATAAATAAATAAAAACAAATAAAAATCAATGGAACTTGCAATGTTACTGCTGTTTCTCATGTAAGTGTTATTCTTGGGGCTGTCGTCACTGAGTTGACACATTGCAGATTGTTTTCTTAACCATTCTGATCCTGGTCTGCATGTCTTCAGCCCCAGTGGGCCTGACCAGGGACACAGGACGGTTCCTTGGTGCTGTCAAGGCTCGGGAAACACCCTTAGAATCAGGGGCGTCGGCTTCGCCACGTGGTTTAACTCCTAGAATTCTGTGTCTCTCGACGTGGTTGATGCCTTTATCCTTGTCTGCATTGAATGTACAGTTTCCAGCTTTCCTTGAGAGACCAAAAGGAAGAACAATGATGAGTAGAGCAGCTTTGCTTTAAGATCAAGGGTTGCCCAGCGTGGGTGAGGCCGGGGTAGTGGGATATTGAACAGCCACTGTGGGGCGGCCCAGCTGCCACTGGGCGATGCTTGCATCATTGTTGCCTGTGTGAATACAGAATCTCAGGGCTGCCAGGACTTTAAAATTATTTTGTCCAACGCTTCCTCCAGTACCACCACATCAGAGCAGAGGGGCCCCAGTCTAATCCGAGGCGCTCTGAGTCAGGGAATTCTCTACGCAAGATGGCCAGTGTAGCTTAGGACAGCTGTGTTCCTATTTTGAGACCAGGTCTGTTCTGGGGGAACATGCACTCATTAGTCCTGTTTCTTCTCAATACAGTCAGACAGACCAAGTCTAATCCTTCCAAAACAGGAGAGGCTGGCAATATTTAAAGACGGGGACCACAGCCCTTTGTGTCGTATTTTCCTTTGGGCCAACTGCATCTTCTGATGGATTGAATTATGCCCCGCAAAAAGATATGCCAAAGTTGTCTCCCCCAGTGTGTATGACTGTGGCCTTATTTGGAAATAGGATCTTTGCAGATGCACTCAGGTTAAAATGAGGTCATACTGGATCAGGGTAGACCCTCAGCCACCCTAAGACACAGGGAGCATGCCTCATGACGAGGCTGGAGTGATGCTGCCACCAGCCAAGGGGTGCCAAGGAGTGCCGGCAGACACCAGAAGTCAGGAGAGGTATGGAACAGATTCTCCCCCGGCACCCCAGAGGAGCCCCCCTTGCCCACACCTGGGTTTCAGACTCCAGCTTCCAGGACACTGGGGGAAGAGTCCTGTCATTATGCACCACCAGTTCATGGTGATTTCTCCTGGCAGCCCCAGGACACTGACCTGTGGGATCCCTTCCTCAGGTGGCATACCTTCGTGGCCCCACGTATTTGCCAATTATAACAATAAGGCGTGTTTGTTGTGGAAATTTTAGAACATATATTGGAAAACTGTTTTCAAACTATAATTTCTCACCTAGATAACTACTATTTATGTTTTGGTGTATTTTCTTCCAGACTTTTTCTATGCAAATAGGTGTGTGTGTATGTGTGTGTGTGTGTGTGTGTGTGTGTATACACGTGGGTGTGACGGTACAGTCTTATGTCCTGCTTCTTTCACTTTACATTCTTGCCCCCAAAAAACATGCTTTAAAGTCTGCCCTGGTCACACTTCTGAGCTGATGTCCCTCTTATGGAGTCTGCATGGCTCCCGCCACTCTGAGTATGACCTGGTTAGGGAGAGGTTGGATCCGCCCTCCCTCAGCCCCAGCGCCTGAGCCTGAGCTCTTGGTGGCTGTCCCAGTGCCATGCATTCTGGCAAGTGCCAGGTGTGGTTTCACTCCCTACCCTCTGCATCTCCCAGCCCAGGACTTCGTCCACTCTGTTCCGAGGCAGCCACTGACTTGCTGTCACTTGCCATGTCCCGTCCCACCTGCTGGTTCCTGTGTTTTGGAGGCAGAAATTGGCCTTGCTGAGCAGGCTGGTCTCCCTCTGTTCAGCAGGGCTGATGCACACTAGCGGAGCTCTCATGGTGACATAACTGTCACCTCGCACTGACCCCTCGCAGTCCCTGGAGGTGTTTTCACAGCTGCTCTGCCTCCCTCCCCCCACGGCTCCCAGCTGAAGGGCGCAAGTGCTCGGTGTGCTCATCAAATTGTTTCCTGTCGCTGCTCCTTAGTTCCTCATTCTGAGGAAGGTCAGGCCACGCCTTAACCTCAGGGGCAGCCTTGTGTGCTCTCTGGGCACAGAGAGGTGGGGGCCTATCTGTCAGGACTGGGTTTGGTGTGTGTGGGCCCTGCTCTGGGCCCTGGGAGACTGGAGCTCCCGGTGGGCACGTGGGCGTGGCTGTGGTTGGTTACAGTAGTGCAGAGTAGGAGGCTGGGAGAGTGGGCTCCTGAGTGGGGAGATCCAGAAGGAATTGACCCGGAGAAAACTGATGCCAGACTGGATTTTGAAGGATGAATAAGAGTTTGCTGTGTAAACAAGGAAGGAAGGTGGGTTAAGATGAAGAAACCTTCCAGGCAGAGAGAAGGACAAGTGCAAAGGAAAAGACCACGTGTTTTCCTGTTTGGGGTGGAGCCAGGGTCCAGTGGAGCCAGGGTCCCTGTTAGGGGTGGAGCCAGGGTCCCTGTTAGGGGTGGAGCCAGGGTCCCTGTTAGGGGTGGAGCCAGTGTCCTTGTTAGGGGTGGAGCCAGGGTCCCTGTTAGGGGTGGAGCCAGTGTCCTTGTTAGGGGTGGAGCCAGGGTCCAGTGGAACCAGGGTCCTTGTTAGGGGTGGAGCCAGGGTCCCTGTTAGGTGGTGGAGCCAGGGTCCCTGTTAGGGGTGGAGCCAGTGTCCTTGTTAGGGGTGGAGCCAGGGTCCCTGTTAGGGGGTGGAGCCAGGGTCCCTGAGTGTGTTTCTTTTTTCCTGGGTTCTGGTCCCACCTCTGAGGACACAAACACCACAAAGGTGAGCGTTGGAACAGAAGACAGCAGCACCGTGCAGGTGCAAGCGGCTCAGCCAGGAGCAAGACCTGCCAAACTCTTCTCTCATACCTAGCCCGAGTCTGCCAGCTAGAAGGAGGCTCACAGTTCACAGCGTGGTCCCCCCAAGTAGCCACCATGTTTTCTTCTTTTAATAACAAATACTCTATTTATCCTAGGAATTGAACGTGAAAGCTTCTTGCCTCCCTGGTCCTCAGCCTAACAGAAATAGTTGGTCAATTCAAACACATATTCAGCCCCTGCCACAGGCTGGGTGCTGTGCTGGGCACTGAGCATACGTGCCCTGGTGAACAACAGTGGCCACCCAGTGCCTACCCCCTGGGAGCTGGTGCTTTATCAGAGAAGTGGGCGGCGGCTTTGTCGTGGCACATGTCCTGGTTCTGAGGAGAAGGGCAAGATGCTGGGGCAGCAGCATGTGTTAGGACGCTGACCCAGGCCTTGCATTGCCTGCTGTATGAGTTATGTACTGCTAGGGAACAAGTTCGCCAAAACTTAGCAGCTTCAAATGGTTTCTGGGGATCAGGAACCTGGGTGCAGCTTTACTGGGTCCTCTACTTCGGGTCTCTCTCAAGGCTGTGATCCAGCTGTCACCAGGCTGGGGCTCTTCCATGTGCTTGACTGCGGAAGGACCTGCTCCCAACTGGACATGGTTGTGGGCAGAATTTAGCTCCTTCAAGAGCTGTTGGAATGAGGGCTTCAGATCTTTGCTGGCTTTTGGTGAGAGGCTACCCTCAGTACCTCGCCAAAGGGCCTCTCCAGTATGGCTGCAGGCTTTATCCAAGCCAGCAAGCTAGAGCGTCTGCTAGCAGATTAGAAGTCACGATTTTTTCTAACCTAGTCATGGGTGTGAAATCCCATCATCATTGCCATATTCTGTTGGTTAGAAGCAAGTCGTGAGGTCTAGCCACACTCAATGTGAAGAGACTACAGGGTGTGAATACCAAGAACCGGGGATCACTGAGGACCATCCTAGGAGTCAGCCACCTCCCGTTCTGCACCTGATCCTCAGGAAACTGGGGCCTGGGCTTTGCAGCCAGGAGAGTAGCTTCCAGCTTGATCCCAGCTCTAGTGGCAGAGGAATTGTGTTTATGTGCGTATTTTCTGTGTAAGTTACTGACATAGCAGCTATTTCATTTATTCTTAAACATTTATAAAAGTAAGTAACAATAGGAATTTCTTCTTTTTCGAAGGCTGGCGCGTTTCCCATCTCGGCCAGAAAGGATGATAAATACTGTGTGTTTAGATCACTCTTGAAGAAACAAACACTCTGAGCCCAAGTTCCATTAGCATAACGGGATCCTGGGCCATTAGCCCTGTTCTGTGGCCTTGCACTTCTGTACGCGGGAGATGTTGTGGGTCGCTGGGTGCAAGTTGGATTGGTCCCAAGTTGTTCTTTTCCTTCTATAAATTGACTTGGAGAGGGGAAATACTACTTTTATTTTTAGTTTTAGGTTCACATTCAACCTTTACTTCTATAATTGATCCAAAGTAGAGGGTTTGAAAATGTTGGAATTTTAAGCGAAGTCAAATCACTTTTAAATTTCCAGAGAAAGATTCAAGTGGCAAGTTTTTTTTTTTTTTTTTTCCTGGAGGAGAACAGAGGAATACTGGAAAGAAGTGGACGGGATGGTTCATATGGCCAAAGAAGCCAGCCAAGAATTCATGTTCCAGTTTTCTCTCTGTAAGAGATCATGACAATTTAAAACTAGCTTCATGCATTCCTATGCTAAATTGG